GGAGCACTTGCGAGAGGTTTTGGATACATTGAGGAGGGAGAGCTTGTATGCTAAGTTCTCCAAGTGTAAGTTCTGGTTGCGCGAGGTGCGGTTTCTTGGGCACCTTGTCAACCAGAACGCGATTTCGATCGACCCGGCCAAGGTGGAGGCCGTGATGAGATGGGAGGTTCCGAGGTTTCCATCTGAGATTCGGAGCTTTCTGGGACTGGCAGGCTGTTATCGGAGATTCATTCAGGACTTCTCCAAGATAGCTGTGCCCCTGACCCGGTTGACGAGGAAAGTCGTGGTCTTTCGTTGGGGGCCTGAGTAGCAGGCCGCATTTGAGACGTTGAGACAGAGATTGTGCGAGGCACCAATCTTAGCCCTGCCGGAGAGCATGGAGGATTTTGTAGTATATTGTGATGCGTCCATCTCGGGTTTGGGCGCGGTATTGATGCAGAGAGGGCACGTTATCGCTTACGCTTCGAGGCAGGTGAAGCCTCACGAAGCGAACTACCCGATGCATGATTTGGAGTTGGGGGCAGTCGTCTTCGCCCTCAAGATTTGGCGACACTACCTCTATGGGGTCCATTGTACCATCTACACGGATCACAAGAGTTTGAAGTACCTCATGGATCAACCGAATCTGAACATGAGACAGCGTCGGTGGCTAGATGTGGTGAAGGATTACGATTGTGAGATCCTCTATCACCCGGGGAAGGCCAATGTTGTGGCCGACGCGCTAAGCCGCAAGGCAGCACCGATCAGGGATATCTGTATGAGGATGATGATTGTGACTCCGCTGTTGGAGCGGATTCAGGAGGCCCACCAGGAGGCCATGAAGGTGGAACACCGTAAGAGCGAGCGTATTGTGGGACATATTTCCTCTTTCAACTATGATAGCCGTGGGTTATTAATGCTACACCGCAGGGTGTGGGTTCCATACCACGGGGGTGTGCGCCAGGTTCTGATGGAGGAGGCTCATAAGTCCCGATTCTCGATTCATCCCGGGGCGACGAAGTTGTACAGAGATCTTCGTCGCGATTATTGGTGGCCCTGCGTGAAGCGGGATGTAGCCTGGTATATTGAGAGATGCCTAACCTGTAGGAAGGTCAAGGCCGAGCACCAGAGGCCTCACGGCAAGATGCAGCCGTTGGATATCCCTATGTGGAAATGGGAAGATATTATAATGGATTTTATCACAAAGCTTCCCAGGATTGCGCGAGGGGTAGATTCGATTTGGGTCATCGTTGATCGATTGACCAAGTGTGCCCATTTCATTCCGATTCAGGAGAGCATTTCGGCCGAGAAGTTGGCCGATATCTACATCCGAGAGGTTGTGGCTCGGCACGGGTTGCCAGTTTCGGTGATTTCGGACCGGAACGTGCGGTTTACTGCCAAATTCTGGAAGAAGTTTCACGACGAATTGGGTACCCGTCTGCACTTCAGCACTGCCTTCCACCCGCAGATGGATGGTCAGAGTGAGCGGACCATCCAGACTCTGGAGGATATGCTGCGGGCGTGTGTTTTAGACTTCGGAGGTAGTTGGGATACTTACCTTCCTTTGGCTGAGTTTTCCTTTAATAACAGCTATCATGAGAATATCGATCATCCTCCCTTTGAGATGTTGTATGGGAGGAAGTGCAGGACCCCGATATGTTGGGGTGAAGTCGGACAGAGGGTCATGGGGAGCACCGAACAGGTGCTCAAGATGACAGAGAGGATTCAACAGGTTAGGAGTAGGCTTCAGACTGCTCAGAGTCGGCAGAAAAGTTATGCCGAAAAGCGTCGTTCGGACTTGGAGTTCCAGGTCGGGGATATGGTCCTCCTGAAGGTGTCGCCTTGGAAAGGCGTCATCCGATTCAGGAAGCGGGGCAAGTTGGGCCCCAGGTATATTGGACCTTTCAGGGTTGTCGCCCGGGTGGGCAAGGTGGCATATAGGCTGGACCTGCCAGCTGAACTCAGTCAGATTCACAGTACGTTTCACGTCTCCCAGTTACGGAAGTGCTTCGTGGACAAACTCGGCAGTTGTACCCTTGGAGGATATTCAGGTGGATGACAGCCTGAATTACATCGAGCGGCCAGTGGCGATCCTTAACAGGAAGTTGAAGGATCTGAAGAACAAGAGGGAGGAGCTGGTGAAGGTGAAATGGCAGAACCGCAAGGGGTCGGAAAGGACTTGGGAGCCGGAGGAAGAGATGAGGGAGCACTACCCCGAGCTCTTTCCAGATTCAGCAGCAGACTTCGGGGGACGAAGTCTAAAATAAGTGGGGGAGATTTGTAGCCCCTGATTCCTGGTACGTATTTAAATTCAATGAATATTGCAATTTACCCTGGGACTTGGCGAGTTGGAGGCCCAACTCGCCGAGTAGACTCGACTGTTGATCGGGGGTTTAAGTGACCTACTCGACGAGTCGGAAGACCGACTCGACGAGTAGGAGCTGTCTGGACAAAACCCTAATATTTAGGGTTTGCACCCTATTTAAACACTTTATCTTAGCCTCCATCGTCCCTATCACTCCTAGAGAGCTGTATATCGAAACCCTAGCCGTTTTTGTGTGTTCTAAGGCCATTTTGGTGCATTTGGTGGATTATGAAGCTTGAGAAGAAGAAAGAAGCTTGAGAGTTCGAGTTGAGGCTTGGAGATCCAGAGATTTTGGTCCATATCCAGCTCAATCAAGGTAAAATGCCCCTATTTTGGTCTTCCATGTATTTATTCGTCTTTAGAAGCTTGGACCTTGGGTACATTTAGGGCTTTCCAAGCCATTTTCGGATTTGTGAGGTGTACATGGAATCTTGACTTCAGATCTGAGTCATTGGAGGGGTCTCACAGTATAAAGGTGCCAACTTTAAGGCCATGAGAGCCCCATGCATCTTGTAGAACACCTTTTATGGCTTTTTGAGCCAAAGACCCCATGCATGTGCACCAAGTTTGGAGCTTTACGTGTAAAATGGACATTAGAAGGCCAAATCTATGGTTTTGATGTGTTAAGACCCATTTAAACCGACTGTATAATAATGGTCAAGGTTGGACTCGACGAGTCGTTCTTGGGACTTGGCGAGCCGGGGTGTATTGACCACCAAATCCCTTCTGTGGATGGACCAGTTGTTAGGATGGAAAGTCCCTTAGTTGTTTAGACGCGTAAAGGGACCTGGGAATCATAGGACTCGGCGAGTGTATGAACAGACTCGGCGAGTCCAAGGAAATCTCCCAACCTTTACAGATGAACTCGACGAGTTGTTCATACAACTCGGCGAGTGATAGACTGGATGTGTTCGTAGGAGGGAGATGAACTCGACGAGTTCAAAGTCAAACTCGGCGACTCGGATGAAGATAGTCCCGATGATGATTGAAGGAGAACCCATCGATTTCTTGCTAGACTCGACGAGTGGAGACGGGGATTGTATCGGATTGAAGGAGTATGGGCTCGAAGATTGGTAGGCCAACTCGGCGGGTCAGGGCAACTGGATGTTGACTTTGATCAATGTTGACTTTGACTGAACTTGAGTTGACCCTGGTTAGGGTTGTATATTCTATGTGATGACTTAGAAGGGTTGTCGTGTAGGGATTGAGGAGTCGAGGGGATTCGATTTTAACACCGAGGACAGTTCAGACACTATACGACATCGAGGTGAGTTACCTTCCAGTAGAAGTGGGTCTAAGGCACCAAGGTCGGCCCACTGGTAATTGTTTAGTTGTGATGATTGTCTTTGAGATAATCATCTGGGTTGATTGTGCTTGATATATGTGTATGCTAGTATGCTATGTTATGTGAGATAGTATCAGAAGGAGGGGACTAGTCCCCGATTCAGTCGCTAGGACCAATGGGTAGGTCGGACACCCCAGATATGTTTGACATCACGATTATGATATGATATTATATGCTAGCGGTAGGGGGTGAAATAGTCCATGTATTCGGTTGAGGTAGACCGGAGGGTAGGTCGGTACCCCATAATAGCCTGACACGGGTAGGTCAGCACCCCAGAATGACTTGACATGGGTAGGTCAGCACCCGATAATGGCTTGACATGGGTAGGTCGGGCACCCCAAAATTGTCCGACAATATTAATGTGGTTTTGGTATGTGGTATGATGGGGGAACTCACTAAGCTTTGTGCTTACAGTTTCAGTTTTGGTTTCAGGTACCTCTTCGTCCAAGGGGAAGGAGCCGGCGGTGTAGCAGCGCATCACACACACACATGATTTCCGCATTGAGTTTCTGGGATTGTACTCCGATTTTCATAACTCTTGATATTGTGATTTTGAAACGTGACGTTATGGTTCTTATAAGTTGATGTAACTTGACAATGTTTTGGTATACTATTTCATGAGATAATTTAAAAATGAAGTTTTTGGACTTGAAAATTGGGACGTTACATTACCATTCATCACATATCAAAACCAATATGGGAGCGTAGGGTTGCGTCTCCAATAATCGAGTTTGTTTATATGTTGTATGAATGTTTCTCTAATTATGTTGTATGAATGTTTCTATAATTAGTTTTCAATTTTAGGTCTATACCAACATCCAAGTTCAAGTTAAAGTTGAAATATTGGGGTTACTTTCGGCTAACAAAGAACAGTTATAGGAAAATATATTGCTTTCGCTCTCAAAAATGTATCTACATAGACACAATTTTACTCACCTTAAGTAACCTACATGAAGAAGTGACAAAGCGTTATTCATCAAAGAACAATCCTAAGTTTTCTATTCTTTACGTTAACAAGTTTGAACCAAACAAATCCTTTATAGATCTTGATTCTGATGAAAATCTCATGGCTATAGTTAGCATGTATGGAAATGAGAAAGAAGTAATTGTTTATGTGAAAACAGAGAATAACCTCGGCTCCAATAACCACAATAATCATTTGTGTAGCAACAAAGATGAAGCTCACAATGAGGATGATGTAGACCATTGTCCTAGCGAAAAAATTATCATAATCATCTCAGTTCTGATAGTGAAGAGGATCTAATCGATGATGATGATGAAGTTAACTCAGTTAGTACGAATTATATAAGCATGACAGTCAACTCAAAATTTGAAAACGTGGTTGATTTTAGGAGAGCTTTGAACAACTTTGCAGTTAAAAATGAGTTTAACTACTACATTCAGAAAAGTGACCCGACACGATTCACAACAAGGTGTGAAAACCTAGAGTGCGAGTGGAGAATTCATGCTTCTGTTATGCAAGATGAAGTTACCATTGAAGTAAGTGTACACCATAAGTTATATTTAACATGCTTTCTATTGAAAATATATTTATGTTTAATTAATTCTTTTTTAGGTTCAGAAAATGGTAGAAGTACATACTTGCACTCGAAGCAACAAGGGCGGCAATAAGCGTGTCACTCAAGGATGTATTGCCAATGTAGTTACTGCCAAGTTGAAATATGATGGGGATATCTCTCCTATTGAGCTTAGAAATTGGATTATGAAAACTTACAATGTTGATGTGTCATACCTAAAAGTCCTCGATGTGGTGAATATGGACACCGTGAAAAGACATGTAAAAATCCCGCATCTCAATGTATCTATCGAAGTGAAACATACACCTCTAAAAGGATACTCTAATTTCCCTTTTTTTCATTAAACAACAAAACTACCAATGCAATTAATTTTTTTTTCATTTTAGGAGACGTGGAAAGAATACAAAATCTTGTGGTGGTTTGGGAGTTGCTGTTTCTACATGAAAAAAGTTAGTGAATTTAGTTGGTCCTTTTGAAAATTTTGTTAGCTTTAGTTTCATATTTTCTTAATTAGGGTTCAAGTAATGGATTCTTTTGGTAGTGCGTGACATAAATAAAAATTTTGTTATAGTTTTTCTTTCATGGATTTGAATTTGTTAGATAATTGGTATATATGTTGCTAAAAAAAGGCTTGTAAGCAAAGTATGTTGCTAAAAAAAGGCTTGTAATCAAAGTATGTTGCTAAAAAAGGCTTACAGGTAAAGTATGTTGCTAAAAAGGGATTACAAGTAAAGTATGTTGCTAAAAAATGAGTGTAAGCAAAGTACGTTAATAAGAACCACTTGTAAGCAAAGTACGTTACTAAAAAAGGCTTATAAGAAAACTAAGTTGTCAAAAAAGGTTTTTACACAAAGTATGTTGCGAATAAAGCCTTGTAAACAAACTATGATGCTAAAAAAGGCTAGCAAAAGTTAAAACAATCGGGGTCAAACTGTGATTATGTTAGAAATTTGGTATATATGTTGCTAAAAAAGGCTTGTAAGCAAAGTAAGTTTCTAAAAAAGGCTTGTAGGCAAAGTATGTTGCTAAAATAGGCTTCTAAGCAATGTATGTTGCTAAAAAGGGATTGCAAGTAAAGTATGTTGCTAAAAAATGCTTGTAAGCAAAGTACGTTAAGAAAAATTGCTTGTAAGCGAAGTACATTGCTAAAAAAGGCTTATAAGAAAATTAAGTTGATAAAAAAGGTTTGTGAACGAAGTATGTTTCTAATAAAGCATTGTAAACAAACAATGTTGCTACAAAAGGCTAGCAAAAGTTAAAACAACTGGGGTCAAACTGTGATTAATGCAAAAGTTCAAACAACAGGGGTCAAACTATAATTAATGAAAAAGTTAAAATATTTGGGGTCAAACTGTAATAAATGAAAAAGCTAAAACAATAGGGGTCAAACTGTAATTAATGAAAAAGTTATAACAATAGGGGTCAAACTGTAATTAATGTTGTAACATCCTATTTCGAGAAGTTTCTTATTTTGGGATTGTAAACAATAAATGGATCAAGTAAAGACCTTGGGCTTCAAGAGAATAGGGTTTAGACCCTACTAGATGTTGATAATATTAGTTACGTGAACCAAGCCCTTGGTTTGTGTTTTGGAGTCAAAGGGTAAAATAGGAAAAGTGATGTTTCAGATTTCTTTCATGAATTAAGCATCTTAGTTCGGTTTGTTTTAAGTCAAAAGTAAATATATAAAATTTTGGGCCTCTTCAATGCCTCTCTGTTCATATAAAGAACGCCGAAAATAGATTTCAAATGAAGAAGTTATGGTTGTTTGAAGTTGAATTAGAAGTTGGTGGTTTTGTCCTACGCAGGACATGTGCAAGTTACGTAGGGCGTAACTTGCTAAGTGTGGTTTGTGTTTCTAATGGGCTATGCATGGCATAAATCAAGTTACACAGGATGTAAACACAACAGATCAAAACCCTAAGTCTTTGGCTTGAGCCCTATTTAAGGGCTTTGACTTATGGGAAACCCTCTCATGACCAACGTCTATCACCTAAGATCATTCCTTGTGAAACCCTAGCCTCCTCTCACTTGTTTTGAGCCTTGGAATCTTTTATAAGCTTATTTCTCCACTAGAAAGTGGAATCTTGAAGAACAAGGTTGTGGAAAAGTGTATAGAAGAAAGGGCTCAAGTATATATCCAACAAGGTTACCTCATTCCTTGACCATTGTCAGTAAAAAGCTTCAAACTTACTAACTGGATTCATAGATCTTGTTAATTGTCATATTCGTTACTTTTTGGCCCCTTGAGCTTGTGTTTTGGGAGTTGAGGAAAATCCAACACCTTTGAACTATGTGGAACACTCTTGGGATATATTGGACATGGAAAGTTGTGCTTTGGTGCTTGTTCATTAAGCCATGTAATTTGTGTTTGTATTTTTGGTTATTTTAGTGCATAAAGTTTAGATCTTGAAAGTTTGTGGACTTGTTATGGATAAAGTTGGCAACTTTATCCATCTAAACATCATATTGATTTAGATCTGAAGGTTGGAGACTTGGATTTAATGGATTAAGTTGAGAAAGATGCTTTTTGGCCCTTTTGAGACTTAAAGACTAGATCTTGGTTGTCTGGACCATCCTAATAGATAAAGTTGGAAACTTTTTCCCTTATGGAACTACTAGGAACTAGATCTAAGCTTTGAGTGAAATGTATTAATGTATTAAGTGCTTAAAATGAAGTTTGGAAAGGGACACTGTAAACAGGGCGTAATCTGGGCTACACCTAGCATAGCTTGATTCTTGCATGTTTTCTAGATAGGACTCTACGCCCTGCGTAGAGTAAGACGTATGTCACGTGTAAGTCTACGAAAGGTTGACCATTGACTTTTTGACCAGTTTGACTTTTGGTCAACTGTGAGGGGTAGAGGACTTAAAAGTGAAAAATGGTCTTTTTCCCAAATAAGGATTTATCTTGGTATTTGGACTTGCTAAGTTTGAGTATTTGGCTTAATTGCTAATTAGGGTTTGGTTGTGGATATGTTTAGTGGGAGAGAATTTAGAACCAACGGATTATGTGTGAGATCTATTCGTTGAACGACTGAGGTGAGTTTTCTCACAAGACTATAGGACACTAGGTGTCGTATGTGCTTGTTGTCTCTATGACTCTTGTTCTATGCTTGTATGCTATATGTATCTGGGGTTAAATAGGCCCGGGGGTGAAATAGACCCGATCGGTTGAAAAATACTGATTGAGTTGAAATAGACTCGTGGTGAAATAGAACCATTCGGTTGAAAATATCGATTGAATTGAAATAGAATCGAGGGTAAAATAGACACGTGGGTGAAATAGACCCATTCGGTTGAAAAATACGGGTTGAGTTGAAATAGACTCGGGGTGAAATTGAACCGCGGGTGAAATAGACCCGTTACAACTTCGAGCTGATATGTATGTACGGTGTGTGGTATTTTTGGGAACTCACTAAGCTTTATGCTTATGGTTTATGTTTAAAATATCTTCAGGTACTTCCGGTTTCAAAAGAAAGGGCCCGGCTTGATCACACTGCATCCCCTAGAGATTTATTTTCATATTAACTTTTTATGATTTTACTCTGATGTATTGAGAATACTTTGACTCTGATCGTGTTTTGGAACAACGATTCAATGGTTTTGACTTATTTAAAAATGAAATTTTTACGCAGTATTATTGGGACATTACAAGTTGGTATCAGAGCCTTGGTTTGAGGGATTCTAACACACTCTCGAGTGTGGCGGAACTCGAACTAAGGAATTGGTAAAAAAAATTTTGAAAGAAAATAATTTTCTAAAAATGTTTCTTCAAAGAAAGGGGTGTAATGCATGCAATTAGACGAGCCCAAGTAATTACTTCCCAAAATACCCATATGTGTGTTATGCTTATTGTTTTGGTATGATATATGATAATTGCATGCCAGATTAGTGCTAAGGATCCGCTCATGATTTCATGATAGAATGTTAGGAGATATGCCTTTATATGCTTGTTGGTTGAGCTTTTAGAACTACATGCTAGTATGGATTTCAGATGTTGGATATAATGGCGTAATTGGTGATACACTTGTTTTGGATTACTCGATGATAGAATGTTGCTTGATTTGTTCTTTTAGAGATCCCAGTGATATCAGGTAACTATTAAGCGAATACGTTAAGTTACTTTTTATAGGGATTAGATAATTTTAGAAGGTTATGTTTAACTCTATTGTGCAGCTCTTGTTTGAGTCTAATTGTTGTAGGTTGAGACCTAGCAGTCAAAGAATTATCTAGTGCCTGTAGCATGTAATTATATTCGTGAGGTAGTTAGAAGTTAAATAGAGGGAGTCTCTTCTACATTTGATGAAGGAAAGTGGTGTGAAGTAAACCCTAGGATAGCCTAGGAGGTGTTTTAGCGCATAGGGTGCTCTTCCGTGCTAGTGAAGTATATGGATATTAGTAGGGGTTCTTCAGCAGTTGATGGCACGGTAAGCTGGGAATCCTAGGAGAGCCTAGGAAGTGCCTTAGAGGAATTTTTACGCTGTGTAGCGGTGTGTAACCATTTGAGAGCGGGTATATGTGATTAGATCAGACGGAGGTGGACATGAGTAGTTTCTTAGAGGATCCGGAACGATTCTTGAGGAAAGTATGAATAGGTATGGAAGGTAGTATTGGGCATGTACTACTGAAAGCACAAGATCTTTACTCGAATCAAGGAAAATTTTGAGGATTCTAAGGAGCTGATTGAGGGTAGATTGTATGGTTTGTCACCATGATTCATTGTAGTATGTTTCCATATTTATTGGTTATGTTTGTTGAAGCTGAGCATGGGCCGAATAATTGGTTGGGCCTTAGTGGCCATGTTAGTTTGGATTTGAATGGTGCAGATTGAGGTGAGTTAGTTGATTTTGAGGTCTCTAGGGCCTTGCTTAAGGTAGTGCCAGTTGATCCGCATGACTCAAGAAGGAAGCGATTATGATGATCAGCTCGAAGATTGCAAGTGGAGCCTGAGTGATTCGCAAACATATTTGGATGTCACTATCTACGACAGGGGTTATGTCCTTCCAGCTTTCCATGTTCGGAGGAAAGAGAGATTAGACATGAGAGTTTTATAGTTGGGATGTAGACCCAACATGGGGCTACATGGTTGTGGTTTTTGGCGGCAAGTTTGGCAGTGTGGCAATGCACAAGATGAATCTTGTGTATGGTTTCCTTGAGATGAGATCAAGGGTCTGATTTCTTTGAATTTAGTTAGGTCAGGTGCAAGTTGATTGTTTTAGGTAATCAAGGGAGGTGAATTGGGAAAGACAACATTTGTTGTCTCTGATGTATCCTGACTAAGAAAATGATGCTTCTTGTATTTTTGAATAATGCTCGCGATGAATTTTTTGCTGGCGATTTA